ATACGTTCTATTTATAGCTCTATCTGTGTTAACTATGTAGCTCTCTTTCTTTTAATTTGTTTGCAGCATTCACAGATTTGACCTCCAGGGACTTCCTACCCAGCTCAGGGGCCATCAAGTCTCTGCCCCTTTCTGCCCTCACAGTTCCACGGTGAGCATCAGGAGATGGCATTTAGAAGAGGCAGGGCTGACAGAGAAACCCTAGACAACAAGAGGGAGTGAGAGAGAAAGAGAACACTCTGAACATGCACATGAGTTTCTGTTCTTTCTTTCTTTCTTTCTTTCTTTCTTTCTTTCTTTCTTTCTTTCTTTCTTTCTTTTTACTTATTCTGCTTCTCTGTGTTTCTTATTTTAACCTTATTTTTAGCCAAATGCAACACACTGAAAAAATTCCCCAAAGTCAAATTTTCAATACTTCTGTGGTTTGCAAAATAATGTCAAATGGCATTGAATAAGATTAGGAAGGAAGGAAGGTGGGGAAGGAGAGTGAAGAAAGAAGGCTCCGTCATGAAATAAATTTAGAAAGAGATGAAAATATTAGAAAAAATATTAAGAAATGTTTGTAAGGCAGGACTTTAAAAAAAATAACCTGTTTATTGGCTTTAAGGCCAAACATGTTGTCCTATGGGGAGAAATCCATTGCTTTTTCAAAAAATATTAATCAAATTGCTGTCTTATGAACAGAGCAACTAAACTACAAAACCTGATAATTCAAGATTTAAATTGATTCACAAGGCACTTCCTGAACATTTACAACTAAAATGATTTTATCATCTTTTTTCCCTCAGTACATTTCTTTTAAATTTTTAAATTTTTTATTTGTTTTAATGAGTTACACTTGACAGTAGAATGCATTTATGCACTTTGATACATCATACATAGATGCAATATAGTTTCTCATTTTTTCTGAGTGTACTTGTTGCAGAATCACATTGGTCACGTTGTCACATATAGACACACAGTAACGATGTCTGTTTCCTTCTACTATCTCCCTCTCCCCCATCCCCTCCCCTTCCCTCCCATCACTGTCCTCTACCTAATCTAAGGTAACGCTATTCTTCCCTAGTGACCCCACCCAGCATATTAGAGAAAACATTTGACTTTTGGTTTTATGGGATTGGCTTATTTCGCTTAGCATGATATTCTCCAACTCCAAGCATTTACTGGCAAATGCCATAATTTCACTCTTCTTTAAAGCTGAGTAATATTCCATTGAATATATATATATATCACATTTTCTTTATCCATTTATCTATTGAGGGACACCTAGGTTGGTGCCATAGTCTAGCTATTGTGAATTGAGCTGCTATAAACATTGATGTGGCAGGATAGGTTCAGGAAGTTCGAGAATTTCCATACAGAAAGGGTAAAAACAGGATGCTCACAGCCGTCCTCAGCACCTAGATTTCTAAAACTCTGCAGGGAAGACACAGGGCCTCCCCAGAACCCCGTGACTCCTCTGGGCCCAGTCTTGCTCCTGCATCCTGGATGGAGATCTGCCCTCATCCTTGTGCCTGGCTGGCCCCTGTCGACCTCCCCTGGGCATGTGCATGGTGGGCTTTGGGGAATGCACAGCTTTCTCAGCTTCTTTTCTGCCCCTCTCCTTGGGTGGTCAGGAGACCAAGGCTGCTGCAGGCTCTGGACAGTAACGGGCTTTCCTACTGGAGGGTCCTGGATTCTTTGGCTGGAAACTCCTTCAAACTCAGGAGGCTCCCACAGCATTTGCCTCCAGGTAGAGCCAGGCTCCACAGAGGACTCAGGGCTGCTCCCAGATCTAGTCCCCATGGCCCAGGCCTCACTCTCCACTCCTAGATGCTTCCCTCAGGGCTGCAGAGCTTGGACAGAAAGGCCACACCAGGATTTGCCCCTTGCTTTCCGAACCTGGATCAAATTAGGGATTCTCTAAAATCTCATCTCGGAAAATCGTGGACTCAAAGCAGTCAGATTTTCTGACAATGAGAAGCTGAAATTTGACTCTTTATTCCCTTTTATTTTCTTTTACAAATGAGCCAGTCTTCCCAGGGGTCACCTGTTTCTTGTGGAGCACAACCACCTGCACCCCACCCTGGCCCCCAGTCACGTGTTCCTGCTCAAATGCAAGGAGCCACACCCGCTGTGCCAGGTCCCTTCCCAAAGCTCTTTATCAGTTACACCTGGTCCAGCGAATGTGGGACCCACCTACCCACAGCCTGGCATGACTCAGTGTGACTAGGTGTTGGCTGTTGCTCTTCTCTCAGCCTCTACAACCACCGCAAACTCCCTGGGGATCAGCACCAGATGTTCTTCATTTCCATCCTCCTCACAGCTGGCAACGTCTCTGAACTATACTGAATGCTGACAGAATGGAGGGTTCTTTTGTAATAGAAAGGATGAGAGGATCCCTCGTCTGCTTTAAAAAGAAGAATTCTGCAGTCCTCAGGAGTGCGTTCCGCTCACGAACTCTGATCTCGACAAAGCCTTATTATAACCCACCTGGCATCCCCCCAAGGACAGCATCGTTGTTGGCCAATCCCAGATAAACACTTCCCAGTTTCCTCACCCACCACAGAGCCACGGAGCATCTGTCTGTCTTTACTTCTCCTGGTCTTTCTGCCACTCTTTGACAATTCCGAAATCCATTCCCACTATCTTACAAATGACACCACACGAAAAGGCCCCAAGAGGTCAGGAGTGGTGACAACCAGACGTGGGCTCCTTCTAGCCCTGTCACTTAGAGGGCACTCTAGGAAACTGAGTCCCTGCCTCAAGCTTCAGGTCTCCCCCTGTGTAAGGAGAGACATCCTATTAGCAGGATCCTAGTGGACTAAATGACCGACGGAAAGTAACTGGAATAGAGATAACACTACTAAGAAAGTCCAGTTGATGTCTATATATGGCAAAAACTGCCACCAATTTGCCTCTTAAAGCAGAGGTGAGTCATGGCCAGGAAGAGCTCGTGGTTCTCAGACACTGTTGGAGCACACCCTCCTGACAAGACGCCCCCCATCCTCTCTCTCTCCTCCACTATTCCAAGTTAGGACTCATGTCCTCACCACTTACATCTGAACTCCAAAGTCACCACCTGTTTGGTTGTCCGAAGGATTCCAATTTAACATCCAGCTCTAGAAGTTAGACCAGATCAAAGACAAAGAGAGGAGAAATGAACCCCAAGTCCCAGGGTTGGGCTGAAGGTCCCGGCCAACCAAGATGCCCGTGTGCCAAGCTCAAACGAGAGTCCTGACATTTGAAGAGCAGCGATCACTTCCAATTCATAAAGGTTATTTAATTAAATGAATATAAATTAGAGCACCACTACACTCTATTACATGTTAAAAAAAAAAAAACTGTTGGCAGATAAACAATTATTTTTAGATTGACAAATTTGATCCCTAATATAACACAGAAAAATTTTTTATTCTTAAATATTGAAAAGTATTTTCTCCAGTGGAAAGTTACTAAATAAAAGCAGGAAATTCTCAGAACTAGTATTGTTATGCACATATGCATAAATTAAAACTGACCATGTGTGTATATGCACTGATCAACACTTTGAAGAGGATACTTATAACACATTAATTTTATTGGGGTAAGTTGGATGAAATGGAATGCCTCTCCATTGACTTCTCCATCTGAAAACACCCAGGCTGCTATACACATGACACTTCTGAATTGTCATGGGTCACTTCTCCAGTTGCTTGAGAGTTATTTTCTGTTTCTTCTAATTTTGTGTATTTTTTAATAAATTCCCAAAGTTTCCTTAAAATACATAAGAAGTGAATATAATAGATTAGAAAAATGCATTAAGGAAGAAAGAACACTTCAAAGTAAACTTCTATTTTAGGGCACGTTTATCTGAAAACAGATGAGACTTTGCCATCATCTGCCTTTGACTGAAGAATGTTTTAGCACAGTTTAGACGCTGGATGGAAGGAAGACCTGCTTGTGTTTGGATCCCCCCAAGCCCCCACCCAGCATCCTCCAGATGAAGGACAGCGTAACAGCAGGGGTGGACTTGCCACCAAGAGTACACACACCCTTCAGCCACTCACTCTTGCTGCCGGAGTGTGCCAGGAGCCTCCCAGGGCCAAGTTCGTAACGTTGTCGTTACCCAACTTCCACAGCCCCCCACACCACAGGAGGAGCAGGAGTCACGAGGCCGAGATCCCAGTCCAGTGCCCTTCTCCCCTGGGTTTCTCTGTCTACCTAGTGGGAGGGAGGTGTCCTCTGTTTCTGGCCTCCTTTCCAGCTAAGGGGGGTGGTAGGCCAGGCGGGCCACTGAGGTGTGGTTGGGAGTCACTGAGAACCACTGTCCCCCTCAATTGAGCTGAAATCCCCACGTGAGAAGTCTTTGGTTATCTGTCCTCCTCTTCCCCTCCCTTCCTCCTTGGAACATGGACCTAATCCCTGAAGACAGCCAAACTGAGACCCGGGGGAGGTCTCAGGAAAGGACAGTGCACGCCTAGTTACTGTATGCCACCACTGAGCCTAACGGTGTCTTCCCTGTTGATACAAATAAGCCTTCCCTAAACACGCATGTTTTTCTACCACTTCCAATTGTACCAAATCCTGGATCGAAGTGCAGCATCAAGTCTCAGAAGAACAGCCATGTGAAGCACAAGTCACCTACACAGCAGGCAACTGAAATCAACCATTTGCTTTTGAACTTAAAATTTTAAAGGAGTATATTCATAGGGTTTTTCAGATTCAACTTCACAAAAATCCATGTAATTTGAGAAAAGAAAGCTACCCATAGCCACAGGCACCCCCACTTTCCTGGCCCTGCCCAGGGGAATCCACTGCCTCTCTTCAGCTCTCTCTAATGGATTAATCTCGATTGAAAAACAATCCATATACATTGAGGTTTAAATCTGGGACTAAGCACTTTTAAGCAGGAAAAGCTGCAACAGTATGAAGTCAGCATTCCCAAGTGCTCCTCAGGGCTCGGCCTGCTCTGCTCCAGGTCCAAGTCTGGTAGTGTTCTGGGACAGCAGGACAGTTACAGCTCTTTCCTGAAGATATACTCACTGCTGCTCCTCCTCACTGATATTGCTCTTTCTCATGAACTGCTTCAAATGGTTTTCATTGGCCTACAAAAAATTTAAAATCCTGTCGTCATGTATGATGGCAATGAAATTGAATCCAAATAAATCAGCATTTCTAGAATCAGGTATAACATACTAATTCACACTGTGTACAATACAGACAGATCCACACGCAATAGACCTATAGCATGTTAAGCTGTGTGTGTGTGTGTGTGTGTGTGTGTGTGTGTGTGTGTCTTCCTGGAGATGGAAGCCAGGGCTTTGCAAATGTCAGGTAAGTGTTCTACTCAGCCCTAGGGGACATCTTCGAAGCTGCTAGGTGGAGTCAGTTCAAAAGAATCCTTGTCACCAAATAAACTCCTTATGTTGCATGGTAAATTGTAGATGGAATAGAGAAATCATCATTATTAGCACATCCTACCATTAAAACTCAGTGCTACACTTTCACTTATACATCAGTTTACACCTGTCAGTTTTAAGATACTGTGTGCATAGCCAGATATTTGGAGCACCACAGGAAGTTGTCATCTAGAGGAAGAAGGTGTGCGTTCTTGTTTGTCTGTGACACGGGGCAAGTAGGTACCCCAGGGATCACTTCTACTGATGACACTGATTCAGGCACCAAGAAGACTTACTTCCAATTTCTTCTTTAGGATCCTATTTGATGTTTCCAATCTTATAGCTTCATTCTGAAGGACAAATGGTTTAAAAGCAAGATAGCTGGTTAATTATTTTTCTCTGTTTATGGAATAAAAAGTATTATGTAAATGGTGTCATCTCAAGAGTACTCAAACACAACACTTAAAATCATATGATTAAATGAAGGACAGAGGGTAAGAAAAAATATCTCTGGCCTCTGTTTCAAAAACTGAAAAAGATGGGATTAATCCTTCAAAAATTTAAAACCTTAAGGAAATTCAGAGTAAGGTCCCTCACTGTTCAGTGGTTGGAAACAATATAAAACTACAAATACAAGCTGGGCATGATGAGCACATTCAACCATTAAAACTAAGTGTTACATTTTCATTCACACATAACTTATACCTGTCAGTTTTAAGATGAAAAACTGTTTTAATCCCAGAGACTCTGACAGCTGAGGCAAGAGGATCACAAGTTCAAGACTAGCCTCAGCAACTTAAAAAAAACCCTGCCCAGTTTACAAAACTTAATATATATATATATATATATATATATATATATACACACACACACACACACACATATAGCCATACCTCATTTTTGTGCTTCCCTTTATTGTGCTCCATCGATATTTGATTTTTCATTTACAAATTGATGGCTTGGAACAACCTTGTGCCAATCAAGTTCATTGGCACTGATTTTTCACCATTAACAGCACATATAATCATTAGCACTTTTTAGCATAAAGTTTTTAAAATTAAGGTCCATATTTTTTAGAGAGAATGCTGCTATACATTTAATAGACTACAATATAGCATAAGCATGACTTTTATATACTCTGAGAAATCAAAAAACTCATGTCATCAGTTTATTGTGATGATAGCTTTAGTGTGGGAGTCTAGAGCCAATGCAGGACTTCCCCACGGCCTGCCTGTACTGGTACTTAACACCCGCACCAGGAACCCATCACCAAGTGTAACGTGGAACATTTTAAATTTCCATTTATAATAGTAACAGGTCCTATAAATTCATGTGAGTAAGTATAATAATTATTCAAGACCAAGACACAGAAATAAATAAAATAAAGTTAAAATGATCCTGGATACGAATATTCATATTGTGAAACTACCACTTTCTCCCAAGTGGATTTATAAATTCATTGTAAGCACAATCGGAATACCAGAGTCTTATTAATAGTAGAACTTGAAAAATCAGTTAGTACTGTGAATGAGAATATCCAAGTTAATCATGAAAAATGGTGGACGGGGGTTATCAAGACTTGCTCTTACAGATAGCCAATATGTTGGGAAGGATTAGCAATTACGGCAGTGAGGCAAGATAATGATTAATTAAGAATCCAGAGTACCTTAGAGCACCACTACCAGCTGCATACCATACATTTCTAATTACTCAGCTTAAAAAAAATAGTGCTGGGAAAATATCTGTGACTATATAGCCACAAGAGGAAATTCTTATAAATTCTACAGCTAGAGATTATATTGAATCCGACTGCACATTTTCTGCACAGATTCTGCAGGTATTGGCCATTGACAGCTCAATGACATTTGTATAATTTTTATTTCAGCTGGTTTTTAATTATTCTAATTATCTGCCACAAACTCTTTGAAGTAAAAATACATTTGGACCAAATTTGACTGTATTTTTATACTCTGTTACAGAATCAAATTGCTTCATGCATTCATCAAGGTCTCAAGCAAAAGAACAATATAAATGTTTAAACAAATTGCATACCTCTATGCTTTTAAGCTTATTCTCAGCAATGCCTGAAATTCCAGTGTGCACCAGTGTTGCTTTAATTTGCTTTTCAAGGTCTTGAATTTCATCCCATTTCTTGAGTATTTCACATCTCTGAATTTCAACCTTCTCCGTAAGAGTAAGTTGTTCCTCATCAATTACTTTTTTCTCGGTTTCTTCTGGAAATATATTTTGAAGGCAAACTATTATTGTGTTTAATATCTGGCTCTTATTAATAGTACTGTGTATTATTAACAATATTATGTACATCATTTATAACTATAATGGACCTCAAAGTCCAAGCATGTCAAAAATAATCTGATCTAAAAACGAGGTATACCTTCCTTAATTCCTGATTTAATTCATTCATATAATCAATAAGTGTTTATTGACTATCTTGTTTTGTGTGCTCTGGCCAAGGTGTAAGGTTTAATGTTTGATTATTACTCACAGACTTTTCCAGGTTTGCATTCAGATGGTGCAGACCATCAGGAGACTATACAGAGCATGAAAGGGAGCAGAGGGGTAGTGGAGACCCACAGGAACCTCTGACAGTGTTCCCCAGGTAGGCTGGGGAGGGACCAAGGGGCAGATGCGAGTCAGGCATGGGCAGGGGCGACAGAGGGAAGACATGGGTGGGAACCCCGCACTTGCCTGATCTTTCCTTAGTGATTCGAAGCAGTTTGTTCTCCACCTCTAATTCATCTCTGAGTCTACAAATTGATAAGTTAAAGAAAGTGAACCGTGAGAGCTTCATTGATACTTTGTTCATTTTATCTACTTTATACTACAAGTCTTCTTTCTACTGAGAAATAAAATGGTATCACCCGACTTTCTAACACAAAAGAGAAAGAAAGATGTCTATAAAGCAGAGTCCCAGGTTGACCAAGTAGGAGAGCCTTTTCCCCAGGACTGCGTGCACATTAGAACAGGTCAACTTAACACAGGGTTTTCTGTGGTGCTTGATGTTATCCTGGACTTCAATTGCTAAGAAAGAAGGCAAACAATAAAAATAAAACCACTAACATTTTACATGCTGAGGCAAACAGCCAATCAGGGCAGCGCCTACTGACGCAGGAATAGACGTTTTGCATTACGATCACACCTCACAGTCACAAGTTAAAATTCCACTATGTTTGAACTAAAAATAGATATAAAGATTTGGAGGAGGAGGAGGAGGAGGAGGAGGAGGAGGAGGAGGAGGAGGAGGAGGAGGAGAGACCTCAATAACCTCTTTGTACTTTTTTCTTGGTGCAAAGTTTCATTGTCACCAGAGCAGCAGGGCTGGCTCAGCTGTGACACCACACCCCATTCTCCACCTCCTCCCAGTTCCTCCACAGGTCTGCCCAGGTATCTGCCTCACAGCCTCCTGGTGCCTGACTCCTATGGGACAGCAGAAATGACCTATATGACTAGTCTCTGTCCCACACCCTGAAGGTGTGCCACAGTGACCTTCTCTCAGTCACTGGGACCCCACAGAACCTGGGCTGCAGCCCTGAACCCTGCACCAGGGCTCCCTGTGCAGGCTTCCGTGGGTGACTTGGGTCATGCTCTGGATCAGTATGAAGTCCCCTGCCCAGCAGTGGGGCACGTGTGACCCGATGGCTCTTGTGGCCCTGCAAGCATGCTGCCCACCGCCCTTTGGATTCTAAGTCACAACCTTCTTGTGTCATTTCCTGGGTTTTGCTGAGCCGCCTCGCCTCCTCTGTATCTCACCTGAGGTGCACACCTGAGCCTAACCCTACTGCTCAGGAGAGACAGGCTTCCCGTGACCCAGCCACGGGTCAGCGCCTCGGCAGGCAGCTAACGGCCAGCTGGAGAGGGCTCCTGTCAAAGGGCCGCTGTGAACCCACAACCAAGTCCCCTGGGCTCTTGGGAAGGGTGAGAACTTAGTGCCACACAGTGAGAGAGGCCTTCAGACGGACCAGAGCAAAGGCCAGGGCCGACAGCGAGGTCGCGGTGGGAGTCTGCTTTCCTGAGGACATTTGGTGACTTCGGTTTTGTTTTAATCTTTTTTTTAAAAACTCCTTGCAAGCAGTAGATCCCATCGGATTGTTATTTGTCCCTGGAGGACCATATAGACGGGTTAGAAAGAGGGTGCAGCCCCAGCTCACACCTGTGAGTAAGTGTTCAGGGGCCAGCAGGGAAGAGATGAGACCTTTAGAGCCCTCCCACCAGGGAAACACCATATTGGGCAGAATATCCTGGCCACCCTGGGACAGCTGTGGCAGGGCCAGGAATCATGCTGTTTAAGGCACCACGTCACACCCAACAACACAGAACAAAATTCAGACGTGTGTGAGTCACGCGGCTTTCAGACCTTGGTGAGTAAGGCCACCCAACCCGGATGGAGGCGCATCTGCAGTGCTCACTTGTTGTGGTGCTCCAGGGCCGCTCTGGTGGCCTTCATGAGTTTCCTCAGCTCCTCCCTGGCCTGGTCAATATCTCCTCTCCGCACGGGACTCTTCTCTAGCTCTTTCGCTTCAGCCAGGTAAGTCTGGGAGGGCAAGGCACAGAGAGGGTGAGGCTCACCCAGGAAGGGCAGAGAATGTCCCTTTGACATTACTGTGCATTCAAGATGCCCTGGGTCAGAATATGGATGCTAGTTAAAATAGGTCCAGCAGGAGGACCCGAGAGATGGGATATTGGGGGAGGACATCCCGGTCAAGTGAACTTGTGGTTAAACGCTTTTGTAAAAGCTATTTTAATGTTTTTTTTTCCTAAGAAATTTTTTAAATGGCAGGGGGTTCCCAGGTTGCTTTGTGTGGGGGGAGGACATGCTGAACAAAGGCCTTTGGGTGCGCTGTCACCAGCCCCCAGGCATTTCTTCAGTCAGTGGGAACCATCGGAACTCAGTTAGTGCTGTGCTCAAAGGCAGAGACCTTCGCCAGGTTCTCAGGAATAGAAAGATCTAGAGCCTGATAGCCTGGGAATTCTTTCACCCTGATGTTTGACACAGTGTAGACACAACTGACCCTTTTCTACTCAACCTTGAAAAGTAAGGAACAGGCAGATCAAGGAGGTCTTGCTGAGTCCTGAAAGACAAGTCCGCACAGCATGAAGGGCTTGGAGGAGCGGCCACAGAGGACCCGAGTGTGAGTGTCCCCGAGGAGGAAATCAGAACTGACCTCCTTCTATGCTGCCGAGTTTTTATGTGCAAAGAGAGAAACTGCATCTCCTCATTGTGAAAATGCCACCCGCAAGTTTTAAACTTCACCAAATTCAAAATGCCAAGACACCAGAGCCACAGTGTGACACTCTGAGATTTTATAAGTGATGGCTGTTCCTGTAGCACAAATTTCCTACTACAACCAACGCACATTCAACCCAACTCTGAGGGACCGCCTAGGAAGCCACCACAGGAGGTGACAGCTGCTGTGGCTGGGCCAGGCGGGCCGCATGGCACTCCTTGCAGTACCCGGCAGAACTACTGTGGGTGCTCCGGCAGTCACTGAAGTGGCACCCTTTTAACCTCCCAAATAGTGTCCTCCAACCCCAGTGCCTTGGGAATGCGACCAGGGCTGTGTCCATCTAAAGGAAAGTCCATTACCAATAACATCCTGCAGCTGGTATGAAGCTCTTCCCTAATGAAAGGACCAGCTGGGGTGAAGTGCGCAGGAACACATGGTGCTCCTTGGGTCCTGAATGTTTTCTAGTGCTGTGGAAGGTGGCGCATGCCCAGACAGGCTCGGTGGGTATCTCCAGGTCGACAGTTACCTCATACTGCTCTGTGGGCTGGGAGCACAGGAGTATGGTCATGTAGAGTTCATATTCATCCTGCGCACACAGAGACATCCACTGGACATGAGTTAGGAGGCAAGGCTATGGAGCAAGGCTTGTTTTGCAGATATAAACAACACGGAGGTTAAGGATGTCCATTTAGATAATTAAAGAACAAAAGTATACAAAATGCTACAGTGCATTAAATCCTATAGTGCATTAAATCCTACAGTGTATTAAACCACGTGCACTAAAAAGTATAAGACCTAATAGTCTTTGAAACAAATTTGAGTTTAAACTACTGAGCATTTCAATATGTATCACAAAACAACATGATCTCGTGCCATACAGAAATCCTGTCCTGCAGCCTGAGGTGAGCTTTCTAGCAACCAGGGCATCTCTGTAGAACACACCACCACAGCACTACTGTTGTGCATCCCTACTCATTAGGGATGTTAGAGAACAGCGTGTTCCTGAAGCAAGCCAAGTTCAGCTTGGATGCCACTGAGGGGCCTTTCATCATGAAGTCACAGCAGTTTTGTCATTGCATAAGGGCTCCATGTAAAGTAGCACTTGGGCAATCACAAAGGTTCACCTGCCACGAATGTTGTACTATGATTAATCAGAAAGAATTTGGAAAAACAAACAAACACGGGCTTAAGAGCTAACTGGGTGCTATGGCCTGGACCTGCATAAGAGTCTCAGTGAAGGATGTCTCTCTGGAGAATGGGGACCTTGAACAGGGCAGGATTTCTGGGAGGTATGAGATGGTTCATGGATGCAGAACTTCACACATAGTTCTCCTAGTTATTATGAAAAAAAAAAGTATGTATCTGTTACCTTAACTTCTTTTAAGATGTCACCAAATATCAAAGAACTGTTGCAAACATCTTCAAACACTTCTCCTAAGACCTGCAGCCTGCTGAGCTCTTGCGGGGGGCACGTGCATATTTTCTGGAGTTTCTGGGGACAGACAGAGGGTCAGGTTGTCTTCTCTGTACTCTCCAAATCGTTTCTCGGGTTGAGGAATCAGAAGGGCACGGCTGCCACCTCCCAGAGCCTGGTCTCAGCAGAGCCGGGGGCCAACCAAGACCCCTGACCTTGCCCACAAGCTGCTGAGGATCTCCCCTGGAGCTTCTCTGTGAGTCTGCTCTTGGTTTTCTTTTCCTGCCCCTCCTTGCACCCTGCCCTCAGGGGTCCACTCTGCCCCTGCAACACTCAGGCCCAGCCCCCAGGCCTGGCTGTTTCTCAGGTGGACCCACGGCCTTCCTGCCCTGCTCTCTCCCTCAGGAGAGCTGCCTGAGTCACGAGTCCCACCCTCCTCCTAGGACAGCCAACCCACCGTCTGCCTGGTCCCTCCCCTGCCCTCTCACACCCTTCCACTGACGGTGGATCCGGCTGTCCCTGGATCCCTCTGCTGTCCTACATTTGATGTCCCATCATGGCCACATAGCATCTAATGCTTCGGATCGTGACCAACGTCCGCGTTTAGCCTTCCACTTCACCTCACTGTCAACAGCTGCTGACCCTGTGGATTTTCTCAACACCTGGCAGCTTGTCCCATTCCACCTGGAAATGTAAAAGAGCTGAAGATGAGTCTCAGCCCGGAGGGTCCTCCAGTCGCAGCCCTGTGTGGACAGCGCTACAGTGGCCCTTCTTACCTCCTCCAACTTCTTCTCATGGCCCGTCGCCACCTTGGCCCCTGTGAAATCACTCTTCAGTAGATCTTGCTTTGCCAGAACTTGCTTTTGGAAACTCAAGAACTTCTGGTACCTGTCGGCTTTGGTTATGCCGGCCAGGTAGGAGTTGATGTACTGGTACTCGTCCGGGCCTGGGGCCGTCAGGGTGCAGCGGCGGCTGGACCCTGGCTCTCGGTACCTCAGCACCTTCACCTGGGGCAGCCTGAGCTCCTCTCTCCTGCGTCCTTCAGGAAAGCCTTTGTCCCTCTCCGCCTTCTCTCCTTGCCTGGGAGTGAAGTCCTCCCTGGAAGTGTGGGAAGCCCGCGCCTGGGGGTTCAGGTACCTGAACAGCCGCTTGTTTCTGGCCTCATCAGGAAGCAGAGCTGTGTTGATGGTAAAATGAGCCCAAGCATCTTTCATCTTGGCGACATTCCTGTCGGGTGGCTTTCCCACTCCAGAAGCCACTTCCCCCTTTGGCCTGCTGGTGCTGCACCAGGCGGGCAGGTGGGTCTCGGGCGGCCGGTGGAGCTTGTTGGGATTGAGGTGGCCTGAGGTGTAGAGGAAGACATCTTCCTTGAGGTCTCTCTGCAGTCGGTGCAGAAGCTTCCTGAGATCGCCCAGCGTCTTCACGCCCGGGGTCTCACAGTGTCTCCACTTGAGGCAAACTGTTCAGGGGGACAACAGGACAGGAAGTCTCACTCTCAGCTCCACAGTGAAACAGCCCTGTGCACTGGCTGAGCTGGCACAGCCCCTGCCCCGGAGAGGGGTCTACAGGGAGGGAAGGGAAAGTGGCACCTGGCTTCACCCTGCAGCCAAGAAACCTGTGCCCTGACTCAGGCGGAGCAGCAGAGAGCGGCCCGGGGCTGCCCAGTTCCAGAGGGAGCCTGCCAGGCCAAGAAAGAGGAAGGCAGAGTGTTCTAATTTGACAAAGTATTTCTTACAATATTAGCAAAGGCTCTGGAAGGACAGGTTAAAAGTTTTATTAGAATTCTCAAGATGATGCTTCAAGGTTCTTCTCTAACGTGCTTCACATGACATGCCAGGAGACACAAGAAGAAAATGTTTTCCCCTAAAATTCTCAGGACACCTCACCACACTGAGTGACTGAAAGGCCATTCATCCTTCTTCTTCTGATCCCACAAAGTAAAACCCGTGGACATGTGAAAAGTGCCCTGACTCCTTCCACACAGCCCTGCTCCTCACCTGCCCCCTGAGAGGGCTCCGACCAAGAACCTGGCCCAGGACATAAATCATGGCAAGTCCTAGTTTTTAGCCAATTCCTAACCACATGAGTGCAGAAATAGCAAACCGTCTCTCTGAACCTTAGTTTCTTCCTCCGCAAAGTCAAGAGAATCATCTAACTCAATATGGATGACTGACCTCCCAGTGGAATCACTTTGGGTAAAGAGAGACAGAGTAGATGCTCCAGCCTTGAACCCAATCTTGCTAAAGGTCTACGGCCCTAAACACTTCTGACAGACCCTGAGTCGCCCAGATTTGTCCTTCAATGTGTCCCCCTCAACATGAGGAAAGAGGGCCTTTTTTCTGGAACGCTGTGTAACCTGATGTCCACAGAGCAGTGGCACCGAGGGAGACAGGGGGGGCCTCAGCAGCCAGGGCAGGTTGGCGAGGGAGGGGTCGGGCAGGGCCAGAACAAAGGAGCATGGAGAGGCTCCTGATGAGGTCGGCCTCCTGCTTGAGGAAAGCGCTCGCTCATGGACACAAGTGGGGACCCAATCCGACAGACACTTCTGTACACGTGCTCCTGAGTAGGGGACCCAATAGAAAAACTAAAACAGACGTGTGGACACAGCGGGCACCAATCAGTAATACTGAGGAGAGTGTAGACGGGGGGGGTAAGGAGGGAATTCCTGAGACTATAAAAGAACAGGCCAAACCCACCCCCCACTGGTTTTCCAGCTCTGGGGCCTTCTCTTCAGAGAAGTCTGTCTCTGTAGCTCTGTCTCTTCTCAGTAAACCTCCTTCTTGCTGCCATCTCTGTGTCCTGCTCTTCAATTCTTTGCTGAACGGAGGCACCGAACCCAGCACCCCCAGATGGTAGCACCACCACCTTGGAGCACTCTCAGGAGTTGCTAAGAAAACGTTCACTTGCACAGCAAGACTGGGACCTCGGTGCTCCCGCAGCCGCAGATGCTAAGCAGGCCCACCGAGTCCTCGAGGGGCCACCTGAGCCTGCACAGGCCCAGGTGACCTCCACAACCACGTCTCCACCACAAGCCCCTCTGCAAACGGCTCATCTCCATTGTGAGGAGGACCAGTGAGCAGCGTGGAGAGGGAGCCAGGTCCGGACGAGCACTGTAGTGAGGCCGGTCTCAGACCAGCCTTCCCCCTCACAGACCCCTCTACTCTGTGCCAGGACTGCTGTGCAAAGTGGGCAGGCGGGCACATTCTGAGACCCGAGCTACACGCACCCCACATCTGTGCCCAGTCTAATCGAGAGCTTTGCCTGTGAAGTCAGGGTGCACTGTGGTCCCTATTTTCACCCAAGAGAAAAAATGAGGTCAGAAAAAAAAACAGGGGCAGCCACAGATTCCCTGCTGTGTCCCAAATGACCATGGAGAGCAGCCTCCGCACCCTAGCGCCGGGCTGAGGCCTGGGCCCTCCGTGGGAACACGGGGCTGAGGCCCGGGGCCTCCATGAGAACATCACGGGGCTGAGACAGAGGTGTTGGCCAGCTGCGTTCTTGGAGGCTTTGGGGACAAAATCACTTCCAGGCCGATTTTTCTTGTTGCCAGATCCAATGTCTTGTGGTTGTAGGAAGGAGGTCCCCGGCACCGCCCACATTCCTTGGCTCAGCCTCCTGTCTCTGAGCAGCACAGCTTCCCACCCACAGCCTCTCACCCTCTTCTGGGACCAGCCTCTGAGCTCTGAGAGTCACAGGATGGGTGCCGTCTCTTGAGGCCAGTTGTGCCCTACGATACACAGCAATTCCCAAAGCTCTGTCCATTTCCTCGTCTCCACAGACCTGGGGATGATGTCTGGTGTGAACAGCAGGGAGCCAAGAGACTATGGAGCTCTTCAAAATTCTGCCCTGCTCCAGGACCTGCCCAAACCAGGGCCCAGCCTCCCCCGCACTGTCCACTGTCCCCGCTGTGAGGGCCACTAGGGCTGGATATTGGAGCAAATGCTGCCAGTGATGGAGTTCCTGACAGTCTCTGTTGACCAGCATGGTACCTCAAAGGCACCATTTATACACATTTTTTAATATTTATTTTTTAGTTGGACACAATACCTTTATTTTTAAAAAATTTATCTGTATGTGGTGCTGAGGATTGAACCCTGGGCCTGGCATGTGCTAGGCAAGCGCTCCACCACTGAGCCCCAGCCCCAGCCCCCAAAGACACCATTTATGAACAGGTCATATACTAATCAACAGAACAAGGTTTCAATGTCTCACTGTCGTTCTTCAGAGGCACTGACCCACAAGGCAGGGAGACGAGCTACGTCAGCTCCATGGGAAATGGGGAGAGGCCACTTGAATGCAGCCATTATCCTCCCTTCAGTTTATCCAGAAGTTTTCAGAAGGGCCTGGAAGCCTCAGCTAGTTAATCAGCACAGTCACCTTCCTATTAGCATAGGTTTGGAGTCGACTGCAGTAACACTTGGAGGATCCAGATTCCATGGCTCTGTGACAAGTTCTCACACTACTGACCACACACTCCATTCTGGCCCTGGATGTTACAATACTGTCCTTACTGAAAACATTGTCTTTTGCATACCCTGGACAGCAAAAAATAAAAGTGAGTATTTTACAAATGATCTGAAAACATGTAGAGACTTTTTGAATGTGTATTGATTTAGGAAAACACAGTAGTAGGCTTTTGGATAAGGTTTAGATTCATTAAACATTTCCAACAATTTAGCAGCTAACATTTTTAGACAGAGTGTCTTTAGTTTAGAAATTCTGCTTATGCTTCAAGATGGAGACAAGAGGTCTTGAAAGTCGCCATCATTACAGATCACGGTCTCTCTTGTCTGGTCTCTGTGAACCCTGGGGTCCACAGAGATTCTCACTGGTCTCTTCCAAGAATGGCCTCATTCCCTCTACCCTGCACTTAGCAAACACCCTGGGGGCAAGTTAGTGGAAATAATGAAGAGAATTCTGGAGACCATAACCTGCAGGCCCAGCCAGAGGAGAGCCAAGGAGCCTCAGGGGACAGTAGGCAGTGGGTCCTCTCTTGTGCCCTGTGTGCTCTTAGTTCCTTAGAGAATCGGTGCAGGCTGCTTGACCTTTCCCAAATCTCAGACAGCATCAGAACTCTGACCTGGTCACACTCTGCCTTTACACATGGATCTGCAAACATTTTGACAAATCCTCAAGGGAAGGAACTTTATTTGCATTATAATCTTGAGAAAAAGTGAACAGCCATTGCTTCCTGTAATCAATGTAGAAAAGAAGCACTGTAACATTTAAGTAATGATAGAAAAACCTACAGGGTGCTGTACACTGTACTGTATGTGTCAGAAAACAAAGTCCTACAGCAGTCCTGCAGGGTGGGGACACAGCTGGGAATGGTGGAAGGCAGAAAAGCCCCAGGGGAGCACTCGTCCCTGGGGAAGAGAGTCAGAATGAGCAGACTCACAGTGCTCTTGGCTGGCCAGGTTGGGGGGGGGGGGGGGGGAAAGAATGAAACCCCCGGACTGCGGTGTCACAGAAAGGGACTTTGCAGATTTGACTTAGGTGATGGGCCTTAAAATAGATTGCCCAAGACCATCTGGGCAGGCCCATCCTAATCACACAAGTCCCTAAAAGCAAAGAGTTTTCTCTGGCTGGAGTCACAACGGAGAGTGGGCTAGGAGGGACTTCAGAGATTGTAACAGGAGAGGAAGATTCTGGGCAGAGGGCCCTCCAGGATGGGGAGAAGGCAGCCACTGGGGAGCTGTGGGGTGCCACAGTATGGACGGCCTGGGGGAATTCCTCCCCAGGGTCCAGAGATGAGCACACCCTAGAGAACATTGATGTCAGCAGAGACCCTGAGCAGAGGCCCACCCAGCTCATGCAGACCTGCAACTGCAGAATGCAAATCATATGCATCAGCGCTATTTGAAGTCACTGTTTGGGGAACTTGATACAGCAGTAGAGGAAAGGAGTACACTGGGACACTGCACAGAAGCCAGGCATGCTGCGTCCATGTCTGGTGTGAGCCATGGACAGCAGAGGGGAGAAGACGTGTGGAACTGGGAATCAGCAAGAGCAAGTTTCACCCCAGGGCCACGGCCACGTGCGAGGAGAGAGGCCTCCCAGCCTCCCAAGGTTATGGGAGGAAGGCTGGAGTTTCTTTACTCTTAGGTTAAAGACAAACATGGCCTCTGAGGCTGCAGGCTGCCCTTTGACAGCGTGGCTCGAAAGCAGCCCTGGGGGCGGTGACCTTGTGATCCCCTTCACAGGTGAGGATGGGGGCACAGACACTTAAATACTGCCCAATGTCCGTCCAGAGGGCAGCTGCCTCCCCAAACTGCCCACCGCTGCACTTCAAAGCTGCAAAGTGCCTTTAATAAAGCTTCCACTGTCCACTCTACTCTTGCCTCTGTGTGCTTCTCCGGTGTTATACTTCAGCATTTGGGGAAGCAAGGACTCGTCACCGGTAAACAGTGGTAACAGACTGGGCCACGCTCAGTTGGTGACATGCACAGGGTGTGTCCTGCAGTCCAGGACTAGCATCTAGAAGTCTGCCCCTCCAGCCCCTCCTCCCAGACAGGACCAGATTGCCTGCACACACACACACACACACTCACACACTCACACACACACACACACACACACGCAGGCACCCCACACATCTGCCTCTTTCAGCCTGTCATTCTGGGATCTGAGAAGACAACACATCCCGACACCAGTGTCCCTGGAGCTGATTTGCAGCCACAAGAGAGACTTCACTTTTCAAAACAGACTCAAGAGAAACTGGGTTCCTAGGTACACCTCAGACAAACGTCAGAAGCCAAATACAAATGCCTGATGTCCACTTACATTCTGGCTCCAAATCCTTAGCCATGGCCTCCCTCACCAGTGTGGCCTCTGAGGTCCTGGGGTTACCATGGGACCATCAACATTCCAGGCCCCGCCCCCACGGCACAGCTCAGCTGCCAGCCACAGGGTGCCTGCCAGATTCCCCCACTCCTCCCCCCTGTGATTCTGACTTTAATGGGGACACCAGGTATTTGCTGGTCTGCCTGGCTTTTTAAAATGAAACCATCGAAAATGTACTTGCACTCTTCAATTCCTCCCCCAAACCTGGGGTAGGCCGGGTAACTGGTTGCTGTTTGGACTCCAACCCCTCAACTATACCCAGAATTCTAGAGCAGTGTGGGCTTAGGGACTTCATGATCATAGGGTGTTGCTACGTGGTGTTGCTTCAGTCAGATTTTTGCTGCGGTGACCAAAAGATCTGACAAGAACGATATAGACGAGGAAAAGTTTTTTGGGGAGCTCACGGTGTCAGAGGTCTCAGTCCATAGGAGGATGGCTCCATCCCTTGGGGTTCCAGGTGAGGCAGAACATCATGGCAGAGGGGTATGGTGGAGGAAAGTGGCTCAGGACATCACACATTGCCCCAGGAAGCAGACAGAGCGCCTCTCATTGCACTAAATATAAACCCCCAATATAAACCCCAAATCACACCCCAGTGATCCCCCTCCCCCAGCCACACCCCACCTGCCTACAAGTACCACCCAGTGAATCCCTATCAGGTTTCAGTTCACTGACTGGGTCAATTCTCTCAGAACCCAATCATGTCACCTCCAAACCTTTGTGCATTATGTCACAGATGAGCTTCTGAGGGACACCTCACATCTAAACCATAGCAAGTGTGATTCCCCATGGAGTCCAGGCAGGGAATTGAGGTTCCCTGGTGAAGCGACTTGCAGGATCAGTTAACCGGCAGGGAAGGTCGGACACGTCCATGCTCCCGGCAAAGTGTGTGCTTTCCCTCAGGTCGGCCCGTGTCGTGGAGGAGGGGAACAAGAAGCGCCTCTCCACACTGGGAGAAGTGTGACTTTACTAAATATTTCCCAGCCAGAAAGAACTGGTTTATTATAGCCAGGTGGTGGTGACTCCATTTGCTCTTAGAAGTCACTAGGGCCAGCCCGCTCTGGGCTGTGCTGAGAAGTGGTGAGCCCCAGAGCTGTGAGAGCCGAGTCGGGCGGCGCTGGGCAAATTCGGGCACAGGGTTCTTCCCTTTGCCTTGTGTCCTTTGGTGCCGGTCAGGAGAACGTTCGGGACACCATGAAGCCATCTGACCACCACCTGCTCACGGGGCTGCAAATTAGGTGTAATTCAACTTGTGGAAAAAGACGACCCCAGTCGCCTGACTTTCTCCGGTGCCCGCCCCAGGTTGGCTTGCCACCACTGTGGAAATGCTGGTCCGCAAAGACCACTTTGCACGGGGGCATCTGAGTTTGGGCCTGGGGTGACCCCTGCAGCCCACCGTCAGCTAATTACCGAGGAGGGCCCCGTCCCAGCTCCGTGTTGCATATTTTGATTTAACATTTGTGATTTAGCCAGCTGGCTGCCCGGTGTGCCACCGCCCCCACCCCCGTGCGCGTGGGCCACAGAAAGGGATCCTCTATGCGCCCCTCCTGTCGGTCGGTCGGCAGGTGGGCGGAGGGACGAGGGGTTCTGCCCCTGGGAAGCGGGGACCCTGCGAGGCCCAGGCGAGCTGCTGCCCTCGGGGTTCATTCTGTGCTGCCCACACGCCTGTGTCTTGGCACAGAGCAGGACTGGGCTGAAAGTCCTGGTTTGGAAAAGAAAGGACACAATTGTTTTCAGGGCCTGCATTTCTCCCAGTCGCCCTCCCTCGCGGCAGCACGCACATGCCGTTAGACTGGCCATCCGTCCCCTGGGGCCCTCCGGAGAGCCCGTGGTCAGGGGAACATCAGGCGCCCACGCCCCTGCAGCCCCCTCCCCCCCGCTGCTCCTGGTGCATCCTCGTGTTGGCGGCAGAAGCGCACTTCATTATTAGGTTTTCTGTGCAAAGAGCCCATCCGCAGCGCCACCAGAGCTTCCCTGCGGCCAGCCTTCGTGGAGCTGGCCCTGCGGCCGTCGCTCGCTGCGCTGTGGTTTTTCCCCTCTAGGGGGCGCGGGGAGCCAGCCCGAGCGGCCTCGGCCCGGAGCCCCGCTCCTGTCAGAAGGGCAACTGGTCCTGATGAGAGTCTCCTGTTACCGCTTCTCCAGCCACTAGAGTTCGCTGGGCGCCAGCAAAGAGAGCTTAAGAGAGAGCCCATAGCATGGGAGGAAATGGTGGCCAGCTACTCCTCCGAAGGGGGCTAGTGTCCAGACCTATAAAGAACTCCAAAAGCTTACCACCAAATAACATAAGGTAAAATAATAAAATAAAAATAAAATGATTAAAAATAAAGTAACCTGATCAATAAATTGGCCAAAGAACTAAACAGACATTTATCAAAAGAAGAAGCACAAATGGCAACAAATATACAAAAATATGTTCAACATCCCTGGCGATCAGAGAAATGCAGAGCAAAACGACACTGAGATTTCACTTCACTCCAGCCAGAAGAGCAATTATCAAGAATAAAAATAATAATAAATGTTGGAGAGGATGTGGGGGATATTGCTGGTGGGACTGAAAGTTAGTACAAACACTCTGGAAAGCAGTGTGGAGGGTCCTCAAAAAACCTGGAATGGAAATGCTTACTATATGACCCAGCAACCCCACTCCTTGGTATTTATCAGCATACAGTAGGAATATAGGCACATCAATGTTTGTAGTGGTCAAGTCACAATATTCAAACTATGGAACCAGTCCAGGGTGCCTGTCGGCAGATGAATGGAGTAAGAAAATGTGGTGTACGTATATACACCACGGAATGTCACTCAGTTATAAAGAAGAATGAAATTATGGGTGGAAATGGAGAACAGCATGCCAAGTGAAATAAGCCAGACTCAGAATATTTTCTCTCATATGCCAAAGCTAGAGCAAAATAAGGGTCCCCCCTTATTTTGGGTGGATATCACAAAATATTGGGAGTAAGAGATCTAGAAGGAAAAAGGAGAGATGGGAACAGGGAGGGACTGCAGAATGAATTCACCAAAACCACTCTATGTGCATGCATAAATATACCACAGTCTTCTACCTTTATGTAGAACTATAAAGCCCCAACCAAAAATAAATGAGTGAGAGGAAGACCCGTGGAGCAGAGGAAGGGTAATAGGTGGAGGGAGGGGGGAGAAAGGGGAGGGCACTGGGGACTGAAATGGGGTGAATAAAACTCCATGCACTATGATTTTGTCAAAATGAACCCAATAGTTGTGCATAACCATAATGCTCTAATAAATGAAAACACAAACACAAAAAAGAATTTGTTGAACAAATGAACAAATTTTCCACGTTTTTTTTGGGTGTTGGGCATGGAAGCCAGGACCTGGCACATGCTAGACAAACGCTCCACTCCTGAGCTACACTGCCAGCCCTGCAGAAACTTTTTAAAACATCTTTATGCTTTGTAAGTTCTGGAAACAGAATGCTGTGCTTAGAAAATCTCAGACAGAATGAGAATCCAAATTCTCTGGACTGGAAGGAGGAAGGAGGAATGGGCGAGGAGGGATTCCAGTCTGGTCCTGACACAACAAGGAGTCCTGGAAAATTCTAGCAAGAGCTAAGGTAGCATCAGTCCCCATGGTGGACCCATGACTCTGCGGCCACTGTGGCCCAGGACAGGTGGGGCGAGGTGAATACTAATGAGGGTCCCCCTTCTGTGCAGGTAAGCAGTTTCCGCCCACCCAGACCTCTCCACTCTTCTCCCTCCCCGCGCACTTCCCCCCAGCCCCATTCCTCCAGATGCAGGGCAAGGAAAGTCTGCATCCACCCAAGGCCCAAAGTAACCCAGGTTCTTGAACCCCTTGCCCTCTCTCTCTGTCTCGAGCCTCTCCCCCTCTCCGTCTCCCTCTCCCTCTCATCATCAATCTTTTTTTTTTTTTATAAGAACATATCCACCAGCAAACAAATGTGCTTTTGTTTTCTCATCTTCAAAACACGTAAGACAATGCCCGAGTTGACTCCACCTCTAACATCTCTCTGAAGCATTTTGCTCAACACAAAAGATTCTGGCCCAAGGTCTAGAGGGTAGCTCAGTGGTAGGGCACGTGCCTGCTCTGTGCAAGGCCTTGGGTTCCATCCCTTGTCCTCCCCCACCCCCCCAAAAAAGAAAGAAAAAAATATTTTGTCCTAAACGTCCCATGTGAACAGCATCTAAGCATGTGGTCTGTCTGCAAGGAGGACAAACACCAAGTTCATTGTCCTGTCTGTCCCCACGGGTTGGGGCTTCCTGTGCTGCACCTACCTGCCTACAGTTGAGCCATTTCCACATACCTCAGACCTTCTCAGATGTGGCCTATATTTGGCTCTTAAGGTGATTTTCTGCAAATAACTTTAAGTGATATTTGAGGATGAAATAACCATAAGATTCAAAAAGTTTAAAAGATGGATAAAATATGCAAAGAACTCCCCTTGGAATTTTCTGCTCCCTACCCACTTCCCAAGTCACCTCTTCCTCCATATGAGTAAAGCAGACCATTCCAGCAACATTTGCCCTGGAGAAGCAGCCCTTTCCTCGCAGAACATCATCGCCACCCATGCATGTCCACGAAGGCCACACTAAAGTGTCCACTCTCTGGGAAAATTATCACCCAATGCCCCGGAGCCTGAATACAACAGGAGGAGGTGCCAGAGTTGGTTCTCTCTGCCTGACTATGGAGTTGAGAGCTGTTCTCCTGCCTCAGACTGAGACCTACACCCTAGCTTCTCAGGCCTTAGCCCCTGATTTACACCATTGACTCTAAGGACTCAAAACTGAGCCTACACCACCAGCTTCCCAGGGTCTCTAGTTCACAGAAGGCGAGTCACATCACAGATGTCTCAGTCTTTGCATCCTGTGAGCCAAATCCTTACCAATTCTTTCTTTTCTCCCACCTCCCCCAGCCCTGTATGCACAGGTTGGTTCTGTTTCTGTAGAACCCAAACACACCTGCAGATGAGGT